TTGAAGAAAGCATTATTGCATATTTAGCAAATAAGTATTTTCTGTTTTAAAAGGAGAACTCTGGGCCTTTTAGTTTAATTCCCATGCTATTTATTTTCCCTTCTCATACAAAATGGAGAGATTATATATATATAAATCCTTATATATATAAGGAATGTAACTTTTGGTAACAAATGAATATTTTGTTCCTGTTACATGGTGTAACAAAGTTTAAGCTAGCCTGAAATTTAATCTATAGTTCAAAATTCAACTTTTTAATATCTGAGTTAGGAATATAAAATCCTGTTTAATTGGTTAACCAGTTAACCAATTAAAGGGGGAACAAGCAGAAGGACCGTTCCAGCTCAGCTGGTGTGGTCCTCCTTGCTGCCGCTGGGCTAGGATCAGGCACATGCACCCCTGCCACATGCAGGGGCTGCACTGTCCAGGCCAGGCCTCAAAGGTAAGGGCTGCTCCAGTTCCCACTGGTAAACCTTAAGCAGTAAGTCTCACCCGTTAGTGTTTAACAAATGAACATTCACATCCCTAATCTGAGTTTGTCAAAAAGTTTTGAAGTTACAAGACAAGAGAAGAGAAATGGATGTGAATGATTAACTGGTAATCCTCACCAGTTTACAGAATCAAATGAGATCATTTGATTTGGAATCAAAACATTTCCAAATAAAATTGTTTTCAAAAAGCTTTGAAGTTTGAGGAGAAGAGAAAGCTAACAACTTCAGTCATTTGGATTTTTTTAAATTTAACTTTGAAATCATTTTTGGTTCAATAAATCAGTGTACCAAAATGTATCTGTCATAGGATAATCAGTTAAGTATGCAATACTGTATGCAGTTATCTATCTTCTTAATGGTTATTGATTACAATAAAAAAAAAGTTGTCACTCTAAAGGCTTCTAACGAGAGATTATTTTTACACCTCTCTGGAAATGTTTTCACTTATAGCTAGATCCCAACAAAGCTCTTAAGGAAACATTTTTTATGTCAGATACCAAGCTCCCATCTAGAGAACTGTCCAAAATTTAGTCAGATAGACTCTGCAATTAAAATTCATTTGTCCGTTTCATCCTTGGCTCTGAGAAAATAATGAAACATCTACAAAACAAGACAGTAGTTCACAGAAGATGACTTAGTGACTTCCAAGGTGGAACGCTTAATTCTGCTTTGGTTTTTTCCCCTTTCTGTGTTGAAGATTAACATAAATAGATCTACATATAGCCCATCAATTTCTTAGTCTGTTTAAATGACACTATTTCGGATATGAGAGATATCAAGAGTGAAAAACAATGAAGAATGAGGGCCTGATTCCTTTCCCACTGAAAGCAATGGGCATTTTTCTAGTGTCTTCAATGGGAGCAGGATTAGGCCTAAAAGAGTCATACAGAAAACATGATAGATTGCATCTATCTAGTCTGGGATGATTTTAGTTTGCTGGATGACCACTTATTATGGGTGTGGCCAAGTTTCCCGTGGTCCCATGAAGTTTGTTTACAGCCACCTGTCCTAGCTCTCTGTGTTCTGAGCTGTTATTTAGCTCTAATTTACTCCTAAATTTCTTTTAAGAGCCCAGTAATCAGGGGAAGTGTTGGTAATGCTGCTAGACAATATTGACCTGCTATGGTTTCAGTGACTCTCTGATTTTGCACCAATCGTGTCCCATAGGTGACAGACTAGAGAAGTTCAACTTTAAAAGAGAAATGCTTCTGTTAATCATTAAATGGAAAGACTCAGTTGTCACGCTGACCTGCAGTGGCTCAAGAGCATGAGTGGCAACCTGAGAGCAGACTATTAAGAACCAGGGAACTAACTTGGCTGTGAGTTCTATAGTTCAATTTCACCAACCAGTCACCAAGTGTAAGCTCCTCAGGCACTATATCTGCCTTATCATGGAGTTTCTGACAGTCCCATTGGGTTCTACATCCATCTGTACACCCAGGTAAGCTTTCCTTTGTGATACACGGTCCCTGACCTGAACACTGATGTGATTTTTAGTGTTAAATTAAAAAAAATAGTTGTAGACCAGTTTTTAATTCATGAGTGGGGGGAAGCTGACAGGTATGGAAGAGCATATGGTTTAGATAGGTCCTATGGGGACAGTCATTAATGGAGATTCTCCATATCCCTGTAAGGAAGAGAGAAGGAAAATGATCAGGGCTCAACAAACAATGTAATCTACTCTCTGTGGTGAGTAGATTACACCCTGGAAGAGCCAGCGCAGAGCACAGAACCGTGCAGCTGGCGAGCCCTGAAAATGATAAAGTACAAACAGGATCAGATGAGAAAAAGTCAAATGAAAAAGAGTGCCATTCAATCACATCATTTAAAGGCAAACAGCTAAAATGTGACAAGTTTTTAAAGTGCTTATATGCCAATGCTAGAAGCCTAAATAATAAGGGTGACCTAGAGGGCCTCTTATTAAATGATATTAATATAATAGGCATCACAGAAACTTGGTGGAATGAATATAATCATTTGGATACAGTAACACCAGAGTACAAAACATTTCAGAAGGATTAAACAGGTCATGCTTCTGCGTGAGTGGCGCTGTATGTGAAAGAAAGCATAGAATCAAACGAGATAAAAATCTTAGATGAACCAAACTATATCATAGACTCGCTACAGTAATTCCATGCGTCAATAATAAGAATATAGCATTAGGAATATATTGCCGACCACCTGACCAGGATAGTGATAATAACTATGAAAGTGTTCTGGGAGATGAGAGTGGTTACTATAATAATATTAAAAAATTAATGGGGGATTTCACTCATCCCCATATTGACTGGGTACTTGTCACCTCAGGCCAAAGTTTCTTGACACCGTCAGTGACCTCCTCTTGGAGCAGCTGGCCCAGGAACTCAACAGGAGGAGAGGCAATTCTTGATTTAGTCCTAAGTAGAACACAGGATCTGGTGCAACAGGTGGATCACTTGGTAATAATGACCATAATATATCTTAATTTAATTTAACATGCCCGTAGCAGGAAAAATGCCACAGCAGCACAACCCTGAAGAATTTAATTTCAGAAGAGGTATTAGACAAAACTGTGAATGTTACACTAAAATGAGGAGGCATAATGCCAAAAGCCAAATCTCTGCAAGCTAAATGGTAATTTTTAAAGGCACCATGACAGAAATTCAATGTATGCCCAAAATTTAAAGGTGACACCGTGGCTAAACAAAGTAAAAAAGCTATGAGGCTAAAGGCATCATTTAGAAAGTAAAAGTTAAAACTTTGGGTATGTCTACACTACATTGCTCTGTCGACGGAGCCATGTAGATGACCTTTGTAGACATAGGAAAATGAAGCGGCAATTTAAATAATCGCCACTTCATTTAAATTAAAATGGCTGCCACGCTGTGTTGATCAGCTGTTTATCGGCACAGTGCTGTAGTCTGGACACTCTGCGATCCACATCAAAGGCATTTGTCGACCTCCCCGGTAAACCTCATCCCACAAGGCATACCGGGGAGGTCGACAAATGCCTTTCATGTCAACCGCGGAGCATCCAGACTATAGCGCTGAGCCGACAAACAGCTGATCAGCTCAGTGCGGCAGCCATTTAAATGTAAATGAAGCTGCAATTATTTAAATCGCCTCTTCATTTTCCTATGCCAGGTAGCCTAATATACATGCCTCTGTCGCCAGAGGTATGTAGTTTAGACGTACCGTAATTGATCAAGAGAAACCATGAGATGAATATTGATGGACTGGAAGATAGGCTCTTTTACCCAAAGAAAGAATAATGGATAAGGTGAAAACCTACACCAGACGTTTTGTTAAACACCTACATAAATTAGTGCAACCGACAGGAGTATAAACTCTAGCAAAAGAAGTACAAAAACAGTATTAGGAAGGCCAAAGAAGAATTTGAAGAACAGCTACCCAAAAGCTCACATAGAAAGAGCAAAAGAAAAAAAGAGTACATCAGAAGCAGGATACTTCTAAAATAATCAGTGGGCCATTGGACAATCAACATGCTAAAGGAGCATTCATGGATGATAAAGCTATTGAGAAGAAGCTACATGAATTCTTTGCATCAGCTTTCATGGCTAAGGATGTGAGGGAGATTCCCAAACCTGAGTCATTATTTGTATGGACACATCTGAGAAAGTGTCCCAGGCTGAGATGTCATCAGGTGACATTTTGGAACTAATTCAGAATCGAACAGTAATATGCCACTGGAACCAGATGGCATTCACCCAAGAATTCTGAAGGAACTCAAATGTGAAATTGCAGATTATATGGTCTGTAAGCTATCCTTTAAACCAGCTTCTTTTGCAAATTACTAGAAGATGGTTTATGTGATGCCAATTTTTTAAAAGGGCTTCAGAGTTGATCCCTGCAATTAAAGGCCAATCAGCCTGACTTCAGTAACAGACAAAGTGGTAAAAGCTATAGGGAAGAAAAATACTGTCAGACAGAGATGAACATAAATTGTTGGGGAAGAGTCAACATGCTTTTTGTAAAGGGAAATCATGGCTCACCAATCTACTAGAAATCTTTTAGGGGGTCTACATGAATATTCACAATGGGAATCTAAGATTTTCAGAAAGCCTTTGAGAAGGTCCTTATCAAGGGCTGTTAAGCAAAGTAAGCGGGAAGGGCTTCTCATGGACTGATAAAAGATTAAAAGATAAGAAATAAAGAGTAACTATAAATGGTCAGTTTTCAGAATGGAAAGAGGTAAATAGTAGTGTTCCCCGGGAGTGTGTAGAGGGACCACTGCTATTCAATACGTTTATAAATTATTTGGAAAACAGGGTAAACAATGAGGTGACAAAATTTGCAGAGGATACAAAACTGCTCAACATAGGCAAATCCCAGGTATACTGCAAAGAAGTACAGAAGTGTATTTCAAAATGGCAGATGAAATTTCATGTTGATAAATGCAAAGTAATTCACATTGGAACACATAATTCCAACTACATGTATAAAATGATGGGGCTAAATTAGCTGTTACCATTCAAGAGAGATATCTTGAAGTCTTTGTTGATAGTTCTCTGAAAACATCTACTCAATGTGCAGTGGCAGCTAAAAAAGCAAACAGAAGATTGGGAATCATTAAGAAAGGGATAGATAATAAGACAAAATATCATATTGCCCCTATATAAATCCATAGCTATACCAACATTTTTATTTCTCCATGCAGATGTGTTTTCCCCATCTCAAAAAAGATATATTGAAATTAGAAAAAGTTTGGAAAAGGGCAACAAAAATGAAAAGGGGTCTGGAAAGACTTTTGTATGAGGAGAGATGAATAAGACTGAGATTTTTCAGCTTTGAGGAGAGACAAATGGGAGAGATGATGGAGGCCTATAAAATCATGACTGGTGTACACAAGGAAATGCTATTTACTCCTTCTCATAGGGCAAGTCCGGCCCCGGGGATTCCATCCCGCCCCAGCCCTGTCCCCACCCCTCTCCTCTCTCCTGTGTAGTTGTGTACTGCATGGCTAGTAGTCATACTCACATAGGCTATGTCTACACTGGCCCCTTTTCCGGAAGGGGCATGTAAATTTCACCTATCATAGTAGGGAAATCCGCGGGGGATTTAAATATCCCCCGCGGCATGTAAATAAAAATGTCTGCCGCTTTTTTTCCGGCTTTTAAAAAAGCCGGAAAAGAGCGTCTACACTGGCCCCGATCCTCCGGAAAAAGCGCTCTTTTCCGGAGGCTCTTATTCCTACTTCAAAGGCTACCAGACATAGTAAAATGAAGCGGCGATTTAAATAATCGCCGCCTCATTTAAATTTACATGGCTGCCGCGCTGAACCGACAAACAGCTGATTAGCTGGATAATCTGGACGCGCGGGTGGCGACATCAAAGGTATTTGTCGACCACCCGGGTAAACCTCATCCCAGGAAGCTTACCTGGGTGGTCGACAAATACCTTTGATGTCGACACCCACACGTCCAGACTATCGCGCTGAGCCGACAAACAGATGATCAGCTGTTTGTCGGCTCAGCGCGGCAGCCATGTAAATTTAAATGAGGCGGCGATTATTTAAATCGCTGCTTCATTTTACTATGTCTGGTAGCCTAATCTACTTGCCTCTGGCGACAGAGGCATGTAGTCTAGACGTACCCTCAGCTATGGGAGGGATTCACCTGCAAGACTCATCCTAATGTAGGGAGAGCAGGATAAGGTAAAACAAGGTATTTTATCCTCTAAAGTTCCACTCTAGTCTGTCTGGAGTTGAGACCTTCCTTCTCAAACAGGACATAACACCTTCTGCTGGAGACCAGCATTCCATCTGAATAAAACTCTCCTGTCTGGTGATCTACATAGTAACAGACTTACCATGTAAATGCTCAAATATTACCTTACAACATGAGATTCAAATGTTGTGAGACTAATGCATGAAGCAACTCATAAGAACTCAATTAAGTCTAAACACTATTTATAACTCTAATGCTTACCTTAGCGATACCCACGCAATGGGGAAAATAAATGATCTCCAAAAAGAAGTTAGAACAAATATTCCTAGGCTTACAATAATTTGAATTTTTTTTTTTTTTTTACTACTTAGGACCAAACAGCCAGGTAGGAGTTGGCCATTAATAGTTCAAATCAATTTCCTTTGTTGTCTCCTGACTTATTGCTGAGAAGCTTGACATATTCTTAACTTGAATATTTATAAAGTACCTTAGGCAGCTCAACAGAAAGGAAACCTTATAATACAGAATTTTACTAAGGGCCTAAGCATATAGTACAATTGATCTTACAATATCAGCACCTTCTATACAGCTCTTTAATAAGATTAAAAACGTCCTAGAATTTCAACTTCACTTGGGGTTTGTCAACACAGCCGAAGGATGTCAACAGCACTGCACTGCACAGCGAATAGATCGCTACACACCCAAGGACTGAACTGTTACTTCTCTCTCTAGATGCTGCAGATGCAAACCGAAGGTTCCTGGAATATTTTGACAGTCATCTTCAAACCAGACCACATTTATATAAACCTTTTTGTCCATTCTAACTGCATCTAACGGGGGAGTTACAGCAGAGTTTTGGCACACTTGTCACATGTGTGTCGTCCTTTCTGTACAGCAGAGTGAACACAGCCTCAGGGGATGTCTACACTGCAGAGTTTTTCTGGAAAAACATCAGTTTTCCTTGAAAAACTACACTTACGTCCAAACTGCAATTTCGTTCTTTTGACAGAAAGTCGAAAGAACGCAGGGGTTTTTCCAACAGCTGTAAACCTCTTTGTAAAGGATGAAGCCTTTTTCCAAAAGAGCTCTTTCAGAAAAAGGTGCATGTGGACGGGGAAGAGTGGTTTATTTTTCCAAAAGTAGAGACCTCCAGGAAAAAGCACAGGTGCCATGGTGGCCACTCCGTCCACAGTAATTACAACTTAAATGTGAGATAGCGTCCAATTAATGTGAATGCTATCTTTAGGAAATGCAGATTTTTCTATGCACTTTTGCTGTGTGGATGCTCTCTTTCAAAACGTTCTTCCAGAAGAACTCTTCCGGAAAAGCTTCTTCTGAAAAATGACTGCAGTCTAGACGTAGCCTCAGATTACACATAGCAATTTAACATTAACATTAAGATTGTTTAATAAATATATGCTACAATCTGTAGTTGTGATGGCTGTCTAGACGCTGAGGACCCCATTTATCTCTATTGATAGAATTTTTATATTTTTAATCCATACAGTGCAATTTGTTCTGCTCTTTAACATACTACAGTAGACTTCCGATAATCCAGAACCTATGGGACCTACGTGGTGCCAGATTATCAAATATGCCGGACTATCAGGAGGTACTATAAACTGGTTATATATATACTGTATAGATTACAAACTGTATATAAAGTGTTCTTAACCCTTTTTATTGTACATACTGTATACAGTATACTGTAATATTTTAGGGTTTTTAAGCCTGTTTTCCCTTTTTAATCAGTTCAGCTGCTGCCGCTGTTACCTTGTGACTCATTTTTTGCTGATGCTCACTCACTAGGCTCTTGCCATTTTGATGCCGGACTATCAGGAGTGCCGGACTATTGGATGCCGGACTATTGGAGTTTTACTGTACTATTGCTTGTGTGTAAAACTGAGGCCCATAGTCCAGTCCTGCAAGATCTAAGTCTCATAATCCTTATCCACTCAAGTAATCCATTGACTTCATTAAGGATTAGTCAGCCTTATGTAAGAAAGGGTTTGTAAGATCAATCTCTTAATTGTCATGACAGCTTTGCATGAGGCAAATGTTTTCAGTGGCATCTAACATGGCTATAGTCTTCCTTAACTGAAAAAAAGACTTTCTCCAACTATGGAATTTTGTATCCTATGGCACATATATGAGATTCTTCTTTTTGGAAAGCTCAGAGTAGCCCACATAAAACTTAAAAGTATCTAGTGCTCATGGTCAGTATTTTTGCTCATTCAAGTTTATGCAGGTATTATTAGACCAGGTGCCATCAATACTATTTTTCACAAAGTAGTGTTGTCTTATTCTACAGAATTCAGAGGGACATGACGAGGCTGCCATTCAGAGGCTTCATTCTTTTTTCCTGGAGAGATCTCAGTGGACAGTTGTGGATAATTACTCCTCTTCCTAAAGAGCAATCAAGTGCTACGGAGTGTCATTCGGTCACCCTCTCATATTCAAAATATATACGGGGTCAGTATTGTGTTCATAAAGAGCCACAATCTACATCTACACAGATTCCGCGTGTTAAGAGCAAGTCCATTACATCAAAATATAATGGGCTTGCTAGTCCAATGTCTCTGTAAACGTCATTGCACAAGCGATAAAGGACATTTCAAAATAGCACCTTATTTCAAAATGTGGCACTGTGTAGCACAAAATTTCAAAATAAGCTTTTTGAAATACCTTACAATTTGAGCTATGTAAATTGAGTAGCTTATTTTGAGAAAAGGGGGCTGCATAGATACACCCACAGAGTGTAGTCTTATCAATATGTTGAGGACACCCAACTGTATCTCTCTGTCGTCCTCCAATTTCCACAACATGTTTCAGGGTCTCAGTCAATATCTAGCTGGGGTGTAGACAGATAGCTAATTGAACCTTAATGAAACAAGATCAAGGTGATGAAAGGTGGAGAAGCAATCAGTTCCTAGCAGAGGTAATATCGGACCCTTTAATCCAGGAAATGTGCAGACATTGGTTGCCACAGTTTTCAACTAACGGATGATTGTAGACCCCCAACTACTGTTAGATAAGCATGCTACTCTAGGAATCAGATCAGCTTTCCTTGACTGGAGGTTGGGACATTTTATTTAAGATGGGGAACTAGCTAACATTATCCATTCCTTTCTCCTTCAAGAACAGACTCTTCAATGTACTCTAGAGACCCAAGTAAGATAAGAATGTGACTGCTTTCATAGGATACGTCTACACAGCAACATTATTTCAAAATAACTAATGTTATTTCGAAATAACTAAATCCTTGTCTACACAGCAGGAAGTTATTTCAAAATAATGTTGAAAAGCTGTTAAGCTGGAGGACTTCTGACTCCGACTCCTGTAACACTCATTGTACAAGGAGTAAGGGAAGTCGGAGGAAGAGTGTTCTATTTCAAAATAAGTGTTGTGTAGATGCTCCCAATTTTGAAATAAGCTATTTCGAAATAAGCTGCATAATTGCCGTAGCTCAATTTGCGTAGCTTATTTTGAGTTAAGCCCTGATGTATACATGCACCCTTTGGGTATGTCTAGACTACATGGCTCTGTCGTCAGAGCCATGTAGATTAGTTTACTAGACATACCCAAATGAAGCGGCGATTTAAATAATCGCCGCTTCATTTAAATGTAAATGGCTGCCGTGCTGAGCCAATCAGCTGTTTGTCGGCTGAGCGTGCTAGTCTGGAAGCTCCGCGGTCGACATTAAAGGCATTTGTCAACTGCCCCGGTAAACCTCATCCCACGAGGTATAACAGGGCAGTCGACAAATGCCTTTGATGTCGACCGCAGAGCGTCCAGACTAGAACACTGAGCCGACAAACAACTGATAGGCTCAGTGCGGCAGCCATTTTAATTTAAATGAAGCGGTGATTATTT